ATCGGGAAGATGCTCTAACCAACTGAACGACCCAGCCAGGGCCACTTATAATCTTTTTTATGACCAGCATCTACCAGGTGAACCTGACCAAAGCCCGGTTCATTGTTTAAGCTTGGTAGCCTACAAATGAAATGTGGTTACAGTCTTGACAGCCAAAGTAGAATTGCTTCTTAAAGAGGAGGAGGTAAGATAAATTTAATGTGCTGTAGCTGTTTTGGCTCAGTGGATACAGTGTCAGCCTGGGGACTGAGGGGTCCCAGGTTTGATTCTGGTCAAGGGCACATGTCCAGGTTTTGGGCTCGATCCCCAGTAGGGGGTGTGCAGGAGGCAGCCCATCAATGATTCTCTCTCATCATTGATGTTTCCATCTCTCCGACTTTCTCCCCCTTCCTCTCTGAAATCAATAAAGATGTATTTTTTTTTATAAAAGATAAATTTAATGCAATGTAAAATGTCCTTAAAACTAGATGACTCACAGGTGACTTGGGCTCCAACAGTTTGACCTTAATGCTGCAATAACATAAACTTTCCTTTCCCAGAGACTCTGGGCTTAATTATCTTTGAGATCTTAGTACAAAGTTTTTGCTTCCCTAAGAAAGGCCATTGTGGGTATGTGAACACTTAATTGACTCACTAAAAGGGCATACTTGTTCCCTTCTTGAAGTCCCAGCTAGCTAGCCAGTTATATGCTAAGTAGAATTTAACAAATACTCGAGTTTTTAAAAATGTAATGTGTGGGCACAGCTGGTGTGACTCAGTGGATTGAGCGTTTTCCCATGCACCAAGAGATCGCTGGTTCAATTACTGGTCAGGGCACATGCCCAGTAGGGCACATGCAAGAGGCAGCCAATCAATCAATTGATGTGCTGTCTCTCTCATCGATGTTTCAATTTCTCCCTTTTCCTTCCTCTCTAACAATCAATAAAAACATATATTTTTAAAATGTAATGTTTTGCACATTGGTCTTTGACAATTACATAAAATAGAACAGGGTATCTAATTGGATTTGGTATCTAGTTGATTTGGAGCCGCCTAATTTCCTCCTGTAGAAGCTAAGGCGTGGGTTACCACGCTATAGAAATAAGTTTTGTGCAAGAACCCACAGGTTGGAACACTCATTCCACGTGGCTGTCAAAGTCTCCACCATAGAGAGAGGATGCCATCTAGCACGGACTCTGGAGAGCTGCAGCCAGCCCCCAAAGGATAAGATAAACCTCCGGCTCCACGTTCTGTGGTCTAAAAATGAGTCCATGAGTGCGCTGGGCCAGCTCATTTACAACACAAACAGTTCCCACATGTGACAAAGGCCCTTCTGCTTGTGAAGTGGTTATTGGGCAAAACCTAAACTGAACAGCACAACCCCTCACCCCACCTCTACTCAGCCTCTCAGCCTCTGACCCCCTGCATCCAACTTGGGAGAACACCATATAGAGCAACCTTGGACCTTGCCTTTCTTTTCCATCCCAGCCTTCTTCCTCCACCCCACCTCCATCCCTGGTTTTTTCCAGAAAGAGAGGTGCCGGAAGCCAATTCCAGCATGTCATAATTGCGAGAGTTTTATCAAAAGGTTGATGGAACTTGGGGACTCAACAGGGTTGAGTCACACATGTAGTCACCTGTTGGGAATGGCTGATGGCGTTTCCCCAAACCTGAATAGGATGCATTAAATTGATTGCTTGGCTGCCAGACAGCTCAGGGCATCTTAGTCTACATGTTATTGCCTCCTACTGGCCAAACACCTGAACAGCCATAGTCTAATTCCCCCATTCTGACAATGGACTCTGTAGGAAACCCTGACCCTTTGAAGTGTATATCTCTGCCTCGCCTCAGGATAAATTGTGTTAATAAAAAGCATGGGGCCCTGAGAGGAGGAGAACTTAGATCTTAGAACTTAGTTTCCTTTAAACTAGGCTCCTCTGACCCCCAAATGCCTTTCAAAATTATGCTTCGTCTCTGGACTATTTAATCTATGCACAGCCCCTTCTCCAGATTCCTGAACCCTTCTTGATGCCGGAACAAGAACCCCGGCAGATAGGAAACCCCAGCAATCAGCCTTCCCTAAGGAAGACATCCCTTTCAAGTATTTTGCAGCCCAGGTGAACCCCTCTCTATCCCCAACTTCTCCATTCCAGAGTAGGAATTTGACTTGATTTCAAATAACTAAAAGCCTCTCAAGGTGTTTCCCCAAGATCAAAGAGCCTTCTTCCCCTTCAGATGGATTTTTCCTCCACCCTTAGCACAACAACAACAACCATACTGCTTGCCTAAATAGTTTGTGACTCCTTTTCGTCACCAACATTTCAGAAATATCAGCGCCAGGTCACAAAGCATGTACCATACACACTAAACCTTACCGTTTGCAACGCATTTGCATGGGCTCCATCTCCCTGCCCTGTTCCGGCTCGCTCAGTGAGGGGCCCCAGGTCCTGCGCAAGGAGAAGCTGCTTTTCATGTCCCCGTGCTTTTTGCTTTTTGCCCTGGAAAGAGGAAGAACTCGGCAAAACCCAGAGTGATGTTTGCCATCTCTAATTGTAGCCCCAGCTACCAGAATGTTAACTTGTGGTTCCAGGGAGGTATTTTCCTAATCATCATAAAAAGCAGCCTCTATCTTTTCATCTGTCTTTCCCTCCATGAGGCCTGGAAACTCTTCTCCCAGACTCCAAAGGGAGAATTTCAGTGATTTTCTACTCCTTTTCCTGTAGGGAAACCATTCGTGTCCCTGTTGTGACAGCAAGAGAAAGCTGAATAGGAAGATGCTTTTTCCAGAATAAGTGTGGAAAGAACGTTTTGGCTACCATGTCAGCCACTGTTTATTCACTCATTTGGCAAACTATTTCTGAGCAGTCGATGTGAGCGAGGCACTAGCCTAGCCACTGGGGCCACAGAGATGAGTGAGACATGAGTCCTACCCTCAAGAAGTTTACAGTATGGTTCAGACCCAGACAAGGCAAAATAAAATTCCAATGTGATATGACAAGAGCAATGAGAAGGGGAAGACATGTGTCTGATGCCTCTAGGCACCTGGGAGGGTTCTCTAACCGGCGTGGATGGAGAAGGAGGTCAGGGACAGCTTGGCAGAACAGAACTGAAATTGGTGACAAAAATACCAGTCACCGTTATCTTTCTTGGAATGCACAAATGGAGGACTCTGCCTGTCCATCCAGAAGTTTTGGCTGTAGCCCAAGGTTAGCTGAAGGCTACTCATTTTGCAATTCTGAACAGGTCATTGGAAGGCTCATATATGAAATTCCTTCTGGGTCTCTTGGCCTGAGATTCTAGGGTATTTTGCTCCCCTTAGGGCAAGGGAGATCAACCTTTAGACAGAGAGCAGCAGACCAGGAAACCAACACGTCCACTGGATCGTCCTTCTAATGTCCCTGAGCCAGTGAGTCCTGTGTGCCTTGACGAAAGCTCTGTAACCGCAGGCAACTGTCTCAGCACCCTGTTTGGAAAAGAAGCAACAAGCAACGAGACTTCCTCTCGAGTGGCCTAAAGACTTGGGAGTTGAGCTGGGGTGCTGGGGCCCTGGTTGGTGTGAGAGAAATAGTAATGCTTTATTGAGCATACCTAAAATGCCCATGTGAAGAATGACTGTGGAATGGCTGAGATTTATGGAGATAAAAATTACAAAACGGTTGCCCTGACCAGTTTGGCTCAGTGGCTAGAGCGTCGGCCTGTGGACTGGGGAGTACCAGGTTCGGTTCTGGTCAAGGGCATGTACCTTGGTTGCGGTCAATCCCCAGTGAGGGGTGTGCAGGGGGCAGCTGATTGATGTTTCTCTCCATGGATGTTTCTGGCTCTCTATCCTCCCTTCCTCTCTGTAAAAAATCAATAATTAAAAAAAAAATATATATATATATATATGTATGTATATAAAATTACAAAAGGGGCCTGGCTGATGTGCTCAGAGGTTATAGCATTGGCCTGCTCACCAGTGTTGAGGGTTTGATTCCCAGTCCAGGGGACATACCTGGGTTGCAAGTTTGATCTCCGCCCCAGGTTGGGGCGTGTGCGGGAGGCAACCAGTCGATGTGCCTCTCTCATCGATGTTTCTTTCTCTCTTTCTCTCTACCCTTCCCTCTCCCTTCACTCTATCTAAAAAAAAATCAATGGAAAAAATACCCTCACTCCTTGGATGAGGATTAAAAAAAAATTACAAAATGTCCTAGCATGATTTACATTGAGAGAAAAGGCAAAAAGGTACCTACAAGACAGTACATTCTTAAGATGAAAATTAAACCATGTATTAAGAGAAAACATAGCCCTAGCTGGTTTGGCTCAGTGAATAGAGCTTGAGCCTGCAGACTGAAGGGTTCCGGGTTCAATTCCAGTCAAGGCATATGCCTGGGTTTCGGGCTCAGTCCCCAGTAGGGGGCATGCAGGAGGCAGCCAATCAAAGATTCTCTCTCATCATTGATGCTTCTATCTCCTCCTTTCCTCTCTGAAGTCAATTAAAAAAAAAGAAAACATAAAAAATGTAGACACAAGTTAATACTGTAGAAGAGAACTTTTTTGAAAATTGTATCAAGCTATTGGACACCCAGTAACAAAAAACTGAAATTTGCGTCAAACTTAGAAATGGTCAAGATTTCTTTCCAATCCTAGCTAAAGTTCATTCCAGGCAGAGAGGGGTCTGACAAGCCTCTTACCGGTGTGGTCACCCTTATTACTCGTAGTTAGTTTTAAAAGAAAATGAAGGTTTCCTGAGTAAGAGCTCAGGGCAGGAGCTCTAAGGCAGGAAAGTTAGAGCTGCAGACAGCAGGTAGAAGGCACCTGGCACCCTCCCTTGCCTTCACTTTATGTCCCTCTAGCTTCCAGAAGAGCACAGTTTGAGCCTGTTTGGAGATCAGTGCTTGTGCAAAAGCCTCATCCTTCACTCCTGAGTGACAGGAGGAAGAGGTGGGTGGGGGGCGGTAGAGGGGGTCAATGGGGAAAAGGGAGGATATCTGTAATATCAAAAATAAAGATACATTTTTATAAAGGAAGAGGAATTTTACCACTTGGAGAAAAACAAACTGTATTCGAAGTCTGTGTCAGCTGTTTGAAAATGTAGCATGTCTGCTTATGGCAAAATTATAACTAATATCTATTTAACCCTACTGTGGGCCAAGTACCCCCCTAAGTCTTTCGCACGCATTGTCTCCCTTTTCACAGCTACTGCTTTGAGGGAGATGCCATGATTATTCCCATTTTACCGACTGATGTGGAAACTGAGGTATGGAAATGTTAAGCAACTGGTCTAGGCATGATGCTCAAGGCACCTGCCCTACCTCCAAAACTAGAAGTGACAGACCAGGAATGTGACCTCACGTCCTGGTGGCTCTAGAGCCCTGACATTAACCATTAAAGCAGTGTTTTCTCAACCAGGGGTGACTTTGTCCCCCAGGGGACGTTTGCCAATGTCTGGAGGCATTTCTGGTTGTCACATCAAAGTAGGGACCTTCTTCCCACAGGCTCGGCAGGAAGACAGGAGCAGACAGAACCTAAGCAAAAAACAAACAAACAAACAAAAAACAATGAGAATAGAGGGGCAAGTCCCCAAGATAATGAACCTCAATTGCAGGGGCAGAACAGTAAGTAATATGCAGGTGATATGCAGACTCAACAAATTAAGTTGGTAATGCATTGACTGGTGTTTGGAAAATACCCATGTAATGTCTTCAACTTGTTTACCATAAGGCCCCTGTGAGATGTAAATCTGTTTAATGAGCTTGCTCTGAAGTACCATGCTTACCACTGAGGACTTAAGTCTTACTAATCGACAGAAAACAAAATTAAAATTTGTCCCAATTCTCCCAATTTTGGGAAGACAGACCAAAATGGAAGCCCACACACCATCCCAAAGGTTTTCAGGACACGAAACCTTGATGTGTCTTACCCACTTAGTTTATTAACAGACTACAATTGCATTGAAATTAATTCCCCAGCCCTGACCGGTTTGGCTCAGTGGATAGAGCGTTGGCCTGTGGACTGAAAGGTCCCAGGTTTGATTCCGGTCAAGGGCATGTACCTTGGTTGCGGGCACATCCCCAGTAGGGGGTGTGCAGGAGGCAGCTGATCGATGTTTCTCATCCACATTTCTAACTCTCTATCCCTCTCCCTTCCTCTCTGTAAAAAAATCAATAAAATATATTTTTTAAAAAAAGAAATTAATTCCCCGTGCAGAAGCCGAAATAGGAAAGGGATCTTTTTTTTTTTTAATATTTTTTTATTGATTTCAGAGAGGAAGGAAGAGGGAGAGAGAGATAGAAACATCAATGATAAGAGAATCGATTGGCTGCTTCCTGCAGGCCCTACTGGGGATGGAGCCCGCAACCCAGGCATGTGCCCTTGGCCAGAATCGAACCTGGGGCCCTTCAGTCCACAGTCTGACGCTCTATCCACTGAGCCAAACTGACTAGGGCAGGAAAGAGATCTTTTTAAAGAACAGGTGTAAACAGTAATCCACACGGGCTAACAACAACAACAACAAATCAGCAGCAAATGTAGAAATAAATCTCTAGCTCCCCGCCTGAATTAGCCCTTTTTGGGCTGGGGCGACAATTAGAGACAAAGTATTGCTTTCCCAAGTATTCAGCCTCCGAGAAGCCATAGTAGGACTTTACCCCGCACCATAGGGGCTGCGGGACCCACCAGGGACCTTCAGACGCGCAGCATCCACAAAAGGAGGCGAGGTTGCGGCTCCTCCCTGCCCGCCTCGGCGCCAGCTCAGGCCCCGCCCCCGCACACGTGGCCCCGCCCCTTCCGGCCCCAGCCCCGCAGGCCCCGCCCCCTCCGATTCTGGGTGCTCCCCGCCGCTCCCGCGTGCGCTGAAGATGGCGGTCGCAGTGGGAACGTTGCTCCGGGCCACGGTGAGTGCCTGCCAGCTGGGAGCAAGTGCGGAGGCACTGTGGTGGCTCCGAGAACGTGCTTCCCAGACAAAACCCCACTCCCTTGCAGTCTGGGGGATGTCGCTCTTGGAGGGTGTCCGCGGGTAACGGACCCAGAGGCCTCCTCTAGGGAAAGCCGTGCGCCTGCGCAGAACCGCCCTCTTGTCCTCCCCCACCCGTCTCCTTTTGGTCCCTCTCCTAATTCCTCCTGGCTCGGAGTCGCCGGTCCCCAGGCCGGAGCACAGGGTCCTGGACCTGGAGGCCGGTGACCTGCCCCAGGTCCCGGCTCTGCAATAGACGCTATGACCTTGGGAAGTGACTTGGCCTTTCCGAATCTCAGTTCACTTTCCTTACCTTGAGATGGAAAGAATGGTGCCTTCCTCGAGGAGTGGCGGTGAGCGTCCGCTCACTGCTGGATGGACACCAAAGTGCCAAAGTCACCCAGGTGCTAAAGTGCAATAGGCACTTCTCTCCATGCCCCGGGTCTGCCCCTTCGCGTTTGTCCTGGCAAAAGGCTAACCTTCTTGCTACCCGCCTTCCCCTTACTCATGGCGGGGCTCAATGCAGTATCTCCTTTTTGAGTCACGCTGGACAGTAAAATTGAGCAAACATTTCCCTTGAGCCCCATCCAAATTCTCCTGGAGGCCGACCTTTGCTCTACTTGTTTGCTTGTCCGTGGGGCTGGAAAGGCCTTGTCTTTTCTAAGGAAAACCTTGACATGGTAGATAGTCGCAGCGTATTATTCTGGCAGAAAGGTTTAAATACACCGGGCCTTGCCAAGTCCCCTTGGTTTTTAAAAATGTATATATTTAAATAAAAAGTATGTATGTTTAAGAAGTACAACATGATGATTTAATATACAGATACTTAAGTGATTGCTGCAGTCAAACTAATTAACATCTCTCTTCCCAGTTACCTTTTTGTGTGTGTGATGAGTGCCCCCGAAATCTGTTCTCTTGGCATATTCCCAGTGTTCAGTACCGAATCAGTCAGTATAAGCATCATGCTGTACAATAGCTCTCTAGACTTCATCCTACATACCTGCAACGTTGCATCCTTGGGCCAACGTCTCTGGCAGTCTGGAAGGAGGAGGAAGCAGAAGAAAATGTTAAGAACCAGGAGACCCAATCCATGCAGTTAGAGTTTTGGGTTTGGCATTTGGTTCGCAGGAACAAGGACAGCTGAGGCTTACGGGCTTTCAGCAGGGCCAGCCCTCAGCCACCATTGTGGGACGACTTCCTAATACGAAGTGTTTCTCTTCCCAGGTTGCCCGACATGCGAGTGCCATTCCTCGGGGCATCTCTGCCTCTGCAGCCCTTAGGCCTGCTGCTTCTCTAAGAACAGGCTTGACCAATGTATTATGGCCTGCTTCCAGTCAAGCAAAACTTGCCTTCAGCACCAGTAAGTGTTAATGTCGTGTTTTGACCCAGGTAATGGGAACATGAGTCATCATCTCTGGGCAGGGCTCTGAACCCGGCTGTACATTAGACTCACCTGGGGAGCTTTTAAAAGCATATCTTCCCCTAATCCCACCCCAGTTAAGTCAATCTCTGGAGTGAGACCAGAACATCCGTATTTTTTTTTAAACCTCACCAGGTGATTCTAAATGTGCAGCCAGAGTTGAAAATCACAGGTAAACTGCACTTGCATCTTATACCAGAGGTTTTAATCCTGTGTTGAAGAACATGGGTGGGGAGAGATGACTCAGATGCCCTCCATGGCGTGGAGGGGTGTCAGGTACATGGGGTTGGCCGACAGAATGTTGGGAATTGAGGCTTCTGAATGCAAACCTGTGAGATGGCTGCAGTTGATCACATTGGGCCAGAGACTCCTCCGTGATCTGAGTGAAGCATGTCTATTTCTTGAGATTCACACTCCATTTTCTAGAACGTGGGTTTTGCTGAGGTCAGTCTCCAATAACAGGTGGTATTTGAAAATGGCTCCTTTACATTCTCTCACCTTTTATAACATTTGTAATGGTTTGGGGGATAGATATACTGCAGCGAAGCTTTTGTGTACAGGTGAAATGTTCTAAAAAGTTTTACAATGTTATCACCTTGGAGCATTAACAGTTTCCTAGTGGTGATTTGATGCCACAGAATGAAAACTTTCCTTGTTGCCTTCCCAGACTCCCGCTCCCCGCAGCTCCTGTTGTTTCTGAGGCCCAGGCATTTGACACGGGAGCTCTTTGGTCCCTTGCTCCCAGGTAGAAGCATGTCCTCTCCAGTTCTGACACATCTCTTGACTTCTTTCCTTTTTTCCTGATCTCTCTGCCACACCCTCCCCCGGCATACTTCTCACTCAGATAATGAAATCTCCTAACACCAGTCTCCCCTCCTCCTGCTCCCCTTACCCTCCCCGACCAGAGTCATCTTCCTAAGAACAGCCAGCCCATCTTCCAGCCCTACGTGAGAAACTCCAGGGACTCCTTTATCTCTTCTTTCAAGAACAGACTCATCGGCCTGATACTTAAGGGCCCTCTCGGCATGGCCTTCAGCCATTCTTGCGTTATCTACCACTCTTCTCCCACACACCCCTGCTCCGTCTGTTCTGCTCACACTGTGCCACCGGCTATTCCCCGCATGTACCCTCTTCCTTCCTCCATGCCATTTGCCCTGTCCCATCTGGACTTGGCAAAATCTGAACCATATTTAGGATCCATGTCCAGTTTCACGTCTTCCTTAATTCTCTCTGATTCCATCCCTGACATCTTCAGCCATCTTTTTAGTTTCCGTAGCACTTTTCATTGAATTTGTGTACAGTCTAGAGAACTATGGAAGGAAAAAAGAAATTTACCTAAGATGTACAGTTGAACTGATTCTTTTAATTAATTTATGCTACCAGTTAATTATTGTGCGAGGTTTAAATACAATCAGATAGGTGCTTGTTTTAGCAAACAATGAACTCTATATGCCTGTGGGTTTTTTCAGGTTCCTCGTATCACGCTCCCGCCGTCACCCAGCACGCGCCCTATTTTAAGGGCACAGCCGTGGTCAATGGAGAGTTCAAAGAACTAAGCCTTGATGACTTTAAGGGGAAATATTTGGTGCTCTTCTTCTATCCTCTGGATTTGTAAGTGTCATTTCTGTGATGCTTTTATGTCATTCTGAGAGCAAGCAAAGATCCCTGCCTGCACACTGACATTGCCTGTATCTAGTTAGGCTTCTTGTCGAAGGAAGGATTCTCTCTGAGCCTTTATGACTGATGACCTTGTTGATACAGCTTGCATCTGTAGCTAATTTACAAGTAACAAATTCAGAGGATGGGGTGGCATTCTTTTTAAAGTGGTAGGGTTTTATAGTAAGACCATACTCTTACTAAAGACTGGAAGGGTGGTTCCTGCAAGCCAGTCTATGAGGAAGTTTGCACTGGTCTGGAAGAAAATGAGAAAGTAAAGATGGTAGAATGAGTTTTCTTTTTTTAAATATGTTTTTATTGATTTTTAGAGAGAGGAACGGAGAGGGATAGAGATAGAAACATCGAGGAGAGAGAAACATCATTGATCAGCTGCCTCTTGCATGCTCCTTACTGGGGGTCAAACTGCAGCCTGCACATGTGCCCTGACTGGGATCTCTTGGTTCCTGGGGTGATGGTCAACAACTGAGCCACACCGGCCAGGCAAGATGAGTTTTCTTATAAAGCCACTTGATTGATTGATTGATTGATGATTGATTGATTTGAGAGAGAGGGGAGAAACACTGATTTGTTCATTTATTTATGCATTCATTGGTTGGTTTGTTTTGTTTTGTTTTTTTTTTGTTATTTTTTTTAAATATATCTTTATTGATTTCAGAGAGGAAGAGAGAGGGAGAGAGAGAGCTAGAGATAAACACATCAATGATGAGAGAGAATCTCGGATCGACCGCCTCCTGCATGCCTTCCACTGGGGATGGAGCCGCAACCCGGGCATGTGCCCTTGACCAGAATCGAACCCGGGATCCTTCAGTCCTCAAACTGTTGCTCTATCCACTGAGCCAAATCGGCCAGGGCTGTTTTGTGTTTTTTTTTTTAATATATTTTTATTGATTTCAGGGAGGAAGGAAGAGGGAGAGATAGAAACATCAGTGATGAGAGAGAATCATTGATTGGCTGCCTCCTGCATGCCCCCCACAGGGGATCGAGCCTGCAACCCGGGCATGTGCCCTTGACTGGACTTGAACGTGGGACCCTTCAGTCCACAGGCCAATGCTTTATCCACTGAGCCAAACCAGCTAGGGCAGTGGTTCTCAACCTTGGCTGCACATTAGAATCACCTGGGAATCTTTTTAAAATCCTGATTTCTGGCCCTAACCGGTTTGGCTCAGTGAATAGAGCATCGGCCTGCGGACTGAAGGGTCCCAGGTTCGATTCCTGTCAAGGGCATGTACCTTGGTTTCAGGCACATCCCCAGTAGGGGGTGTGCAGGAGGCAGCTGATCGATGTTTCTCTCTCATCAATGTTTCAAACCCTCTATCCCTCTCCCTTCCTCTCTGTAAAAAATCAATAAAATATATTAAAATATATATATATATATATATGTATATATATTTAAAATAAATAAATAAATAATATCCTGATTTCTGGGTCTCATCCTCTGGAAATTCTGTTTCTTTGTTATGGGGTGCGGCCACATTAGTAACAAAGAAACAGAATTTTCGGAGGATGAGGCCCAGAAATCAGGATTTTAAAAAGATTCCCAGGTGATTCTAATGTGCAGCCAAGGTTGAGAACCACTGGGCTAGGGCATTGGTTGGTTTTTGTATGTGCTCTGACCGGGGATCAAACCTGCAACCTCGACGTATCGAGATAATGCTCTAACCAACTGAGCTACCCGGCCAGGTAAAGCTACTTTATTTAAATAAAATTGTTCTTCATTCTTAGACTATCCCCCACCCCATTTTTGGAAAAGGTTTTTAAGTTCTCTGATGGGAATCTCTACCCTTTTTCTCTAGCACCTTTGTGTGTCCCACAGAAATCGTTGCTTTCAGTGACAAAGCCAATGAGTTCCGCGATGTGAACTGTGACGTTGTCGCCGTTTCCGTGGACTCCCACTTCAGCCATCTCGCCTGGATCAACACCCCGAGGAAGGTACGGACATCGTGCACCCTGCCTTTGCTCTCATGATCTTAACAACTGAAAAGATCCATCAAAGACGAACCTGCAAGTTGTTAAAGCATGAGTAGTCTGAAGTGGCTATTCGTAGGTCCTCACCTACTGGCGAATTCTGTTAACCCGTGTCTGTGTCTTCCTCGGCATTGCATGGCATGCATCTTTGCTCCCCACTGCATTATATTTTCCAAGGTACACACCGTAACGGAGAGCGGGCTCAGCAGGGCGCTGGAACAGCTGGGGTCTGTTGCTTCCCCTCCCACCAGTACCCTGTCAATCCCACGTACCCTGCATGGCTTGTGAGATGGTGGTTATGTTCTCTGATTTCAGTGTTCTGCATGATCAGTATTTTTGCCTAAAAACTTATGTGGGAGAATCAAAATTTCTAACTAAGCTGCTGGACTGTCGATACCAGTTATTCAGTTTTTTACCTACTCTTCCCATTTCTATGCTTCAGAAATTAACCTTCAA